AGTAAACTACAAGAATCTGGGCTAGAGTTCTTTTCTTCCTTTATGTCTGTAAATAGAAGACCCCTCTGTAATGAAGAAGCAATTTATGCACATTAATTGTGCACATAAACACGTTTTGTGAAGAGAGGGAGCAGCGGGTGCAGTTTTGTGAAGAGAGGGAAGCAGCGGGTGCCGTTTTGTGAAGAGAGGGAAGCAGCGGGTGCAGTTTTGTGAAGAGAGGGAAGCAGCGGGTGCCGTTTTGTGAAGAGAGGGAAGCAGCGGGTACAGTTTTGTGAAGAGAGGGAAGCAGCGGGTGCCGTTTTGTGAACAGAAAGCAATGCTACCTCTAGGAAAACCCTCCAACCCCCCCCCCCCCCACTGCTGTACAGTGCCCCCAGCATCGCCCAGGCTGCAAATTCACCCAACAAGAAGATGATCCTTGAGCTCTTTGCAGGACTTATTGCAGGTGATGGCACAAACACAGCAAGTCAAACAACCTTGACATGTTCTATCTGTGCTATTACCGAACAAAAATCTTCCAATCACAGCAAACCACCAAAGACCGTCATTATACTGATGTTAACTTCCTACAACAGAGGAAATACAGAAACAAAAATGTCCCAATGACTCCTAATGATCTAGAATAAAAATAGTTGTGTGCTTGTATACACAGGTTTTTGGGAACTGCATTTCTCCCAACAATAATCAAAGGAAATTGAAGATAAAAAAAAAACAAAAAACCCACAGTTCAAAGTGACTAGAAGCAAGTCAGGAGCAACTCAAACATCTCCATGCTAGGAGTAACTCATGACTGACATGATGTCCCATTAGCCTATGTACACATCTGAGAAAGGATTGCACCCTTAGATTCCACCTGTAGGGTTACTCACACGTGTTGGAAAAACCTCAAAATCACATAACTCCAGTAATGATCCATCACACAGCGCTGCAGGGCAGGATTGTTCTTTGTTTGTGGCACGGCTGCTGCTCTCGCAATATCCACCCCGTTTACAGCGTGCCATATAATACGCATACTATACCCAGCCACCGAGATTCTCAAACACCTTACTGGGGATGGTGAGGTTACTACTGACCCTCTTTGATCTGCGCACCCCCCTCCCCTGTTCAAGGGTATCTGAAGCGGTTGTTTCTGAATTGACAATTTTATACAGGCACGTCCATGTATAGGTGCTTCAACTACTTCAATACAGGGCACTTTCACCCCCTTCCTGCCCAGGCCAATTTTCCACTCTCAGCACTGCCACACTTTAAATGACCATTGTGTGGTCATGCAACACTGTTCTCAAATAAAAATTTTCCTTAAAAAATAATAATATGTAATATATATATATATAATATATATATATATATATATATATATATATATATACACACACACACACACACACATACATATACATACATACATACACACACACACCTCTTTCTTTTGGTGGTATTTATTTAATCACCACTGGGATTTTTAGTTTTTGCTAAACAAACAGACCCAAAAAAAAGAAAACCAACACATTCTACAAACTATGGGATATATATCTGAAAATCAGTCAATTCTGACGTACTGACAGCCAATCTCATTTCGTGAGGCCCAAAAATGCCAGGACAGTACAGATACCCCCCCAAAAATGACCCCTTTTTGGAGAGTAGACAGTCCAAGGTATTTAGTAGAGCATGATGAGTTTTTTGAATTTGTAATTATTTTGCCACAATTTTTTGAAAAATGAAGACATTTTGTTATCACAATTTTTTTTTTCTTTTACACATCATGATTGCTTGTTACAGTGATAATCACTGATATAAGAAACCATTTTTCTGAATGAAATCCATTCAATGTGTACTGACGAGAAAAAAAGCAACAGAGAAGAAAGAATGTGGTTTGGAGCTCCCCATGGTGGATTGCCAAAAATGGGCAGAGTGGGCATCGGCCTATGGTCCATACGGTGTTTATGGGCTCTGCCACAATAGATCCAAATAATATTGATTTGACCTCAACAGAAAACAAAGCTTTCTTAAATGGTTTACAAAAAGGAAGAATTAATCAACTCAAAGAAATTACAAAATATACATTAAAGATTATGTAGAGAAAATCCTGTAATAATGCAATGTACCCAACAATTTAAAGCACATAACCCATAGACATCGGGTTCACATTGCAGTTTGTCTCTTAAAAGCTCATCTTCCTTCGGCTATCGGTTTGTAAAACGTTTTGGCGTAACCTACGTACGTGTAATGTGCTGTACAATAGTGATGGTTATCTCCATCTAGCGGACATGCACACTACTTCGTTCTCCCACTAGAGCGCGCACAAGAAACCTCCGAGGAGGGGCCCGAAGATTTCAACCACCTAGGGGCCTCCACAGAGTTTAATCTGGCACTAACGGGTCCCCCACAATCCATACCAGGCCCTTCAGGTCTAGTATAGATTTTAAGGGGGACCCCATGCCAAATAAATATATATATAATCTATACCAGATCTTTATCCAAGCATGCACCCGGCCAGGAAAGGGCGAGGCAAACATATTTGGTATTTGGAAAGTTTGGCTACTTTGCATATCCACATTTTTGTTTTTGTTTTTTTAACACCTGCATTTAACCCATCAGAATTTCCTCCATAAGGAAACCGGTCCAAAGTAACTTCCGTAGGTGAGTCAGTGGAAAATGTCAAGCGGCAGCCAGTCCATCAACCCATGACGTTGGCTTTGTTGTAATAAGTCACGGGTTGTTTGTTATCTCAGGAGCTCTCAGCTGCTGGGATTGTCAGGAAATGTAGTTCCATTGTGTCAGCATCTCAGAAACCAGTCCAGTGAGAGGACCTGACACGAACTCCGTGACAAGTGTGCGGATTACACATCGCTGTGTGAATGAGGGGTGGAATCGCATTACTTCCAACCTGGCCTGGGTGGCTCACCCGCCGGCTCTGGCAAAGGCCAGTATGGGCCAATAATTCTGCCGCAATGCCCGAGGAAGAGCGCTCAGAATCATTTCACTGATTGAGAAAATGCCAAGGATGTGTGTTGTTGTAAGGCAGACAATTTCATTTTGGATGGTCTGGCTGCACATCTCAATCTTTTCTTCCACCGCAGAGCATCACATCGCTCAGATAACAGCTCTGCAGGCCATTACTTTTTCTACACGTAAGCAATCCATTGCATTAACAAAAAGTTTAACATGCGTTGTGTTAAAGCAGCCCAATCATTATGGATGGGTGGTGGAGACGGGCCGGCTGCCAGAACTACAACAATCAATGACACTCAAAGCAAGGGTGCGAGGTGATAGCTATGGTGATGGCTATGGTGATGGCTATGGTGATGGCGGCTGGCTCAAACACACCATGGCAATGCATGGCTCAAATCCAGGACAGGCGGCATGCAGTCCCATCCTCAGCCTTCAGGAGAAGATAGAAGTCCATCTCCTTCAGATTTCCTCCACCTACTGCCCTCCACAGCACTGCTGGAGTCAAAAGAGTCCTGGTGTGAGAAAGGGGGTGTGTGATTCAGGGGCTCTCTGACTCCGATGTATAGGTGGGACTGTAAGGTGATGGGAGTAGCATTGATGCGATAGGGAAACCTATGCTGCAATGGGGGGGGGGGGGGAATCTGGCGAGGTAGGGGAACCTATGCTGTGATGGGGAGAACATCTGACATGATAGTGGAAACTGTACTGTGATTGGGGGGGGGGGGGGGGGCATCTGATGTGATAGGGGAGCCTGTGCTATGATGGGGGGACATCTGACATCTATGATGTGCTGGGGAGGGAGGGGGGGGGGGGACATCTGACACGGTAGGGGGCATGACGTGATAGGTGAACCTATGATGTGATGGGGGGTGTGCATCTGACACAATAGGGGAACCTCTGCTGCAATGAGGGGACATCTGACGCAATAGGGGAACCTGTGCTGTGATGGGGGGGGCAATCTGACATGGTAGGGAAATTTATGCTGCAATGGTGGTGGTGGGGGGGGGGGGGGGGGGTCGCATCTGACACAGTAGGGGAACCTATGCTGCGATGGGGCGGAGCACATCTGATGCAAATAGGGGAACCTATGCTGCAATGGGGGGTGTACCTGATGCAATAGGGGAACCTCTGCTGCAATGAGGGGACATCTGCCGCAATAGGGGAACCTGTGCTGTGATGGGGGGCAATCTGGCGTGGTAGGGGAACCTGTGGTGCGATGGGGGAACCTATGCTGCGATGGGGGGCATCTTACGCAGTAGTGGAACATGTGCTGCAATGGAGGGGGGGGGGGGGGACATCTGACGCTTTAGGGGAACATATGCTGCGATGAGGGGGAATATCTTACGCAATAGGGGAACCTATACTACTGGGAAACCTGTGCTATTATGGAGGGGGGGCATCTGGCGTGATAGGGGAACCTATGTTGTGATGGGGGGGGGGGGAATATGCTGCTATGGGGGGGGGACCTTGACGTGGTAGAGGAACCTATGCTGTGATGGGGGGGGTGCATCTGATGCGGTAGGGGAACCTATGCTGCGATGGGGGGGGGGGGGGGGGGGGACATCTGATACAATATGGGAACCTATGCTGCAATGGGGGGGGGAGGGGGGGAGACATCCGATACAATAGGGGAACCTATGTTGGGATGAGGGGACATCTGACGTGATAGAGGAACCTATGCTGTAATGGGGGGGGGGAGGGGGGGCATCTGACATGATAGGAGAGCCTATGTTGCAATGGGGGGGACCTCCGACGTGGTAGGAGAGCCTATGCTGCTGTGGGGGCAGGAGACATCTGACACGATAGAGGAACCCAAGCTGCGATGAGGGGACATCTGACATGATAGGGGAACCTCTGATGCGATGAGGGGACATCTAACGTGAAGTTAATTCCATCAAGGAGGTTGTGTGGACTGCCCGAGGTTCAGCTTTCCCATCAATAAACATGTATTTTTTTTTTACATTTTAGACTGGCGCCTCCAATCTGCATACTCTGACAAGGTACCACAAATGGATAAAGGTTGAGAAATGCTGCTCTAGCGTACAGTCCTTAGGCTACCATTCACAATGAACGCCTCCATGTGCTGCCATACATTGTGGTCACAAGCATTAACACATACATTTCAGGCTAGGCTAACAGTGGAACATTTGAAGCATTTCAAGGTTGACCATCAAGATTCCCATTATATTCAATGGTGTCTATTCACACCTGAGCAGGGGCAGACTGACCATTTGGAAACTCGGGCACTGCCCGAGGGCCCGGGGTCAGTAGGGGGCCCCATGAGATGCCCCTGGTACCTTTTTCATAGGCTTTTTTTTGAGTTTGGACAAGGACAGAGGGGCCCCATGATCCCCTATTGCCCGGGGTGCCCCATGAGTTGTCTGTCCGCCCCTTCACCTGAGCATTGGGTTATTAAAAGCTGTTGCTTGGAAAAGTAAATGAGCTTAATTGTGGTGCTTTTTGTGCAATTGTGGTTCCTATCAATACTCAATGGAGTACCTGAAAATACTTGGAAACTTGATTTCTTGCCTCTCAAAAAAAAAAAAAAATTCTGAAGCAGAAATGTGAACCTAGTCTTAGTACATGTTGCCTTACCACACAAGTGTGAATGGGGCCTGTAATACCCATGTATTGTGATGTCCACGCCAGGTGCTTCGGAGGTACTATGGTAACCACACATTACTGAAATGCATGCGAGTGGAAATCACTAAATGTTCAATCAATTGACACCCGACAGGGGAGCAATAGAAAACATTATGTCCCCAATCTTCTACAGCTTGGGTGGTAGCAAGACTTGATCAAAGAGTATGCTATGGATGAGTTTTAGAGTCCCAGTTCATTTCACCTGAAGGCTTCTTCAGGGAAGGGGTGTTCAAAAACATATAGAAGTATGATTTAGCACTACCCCCTTAGGAGTTGCTGAAGATTTGGGTTCCCCTATAGTCCTGCACAGCCAGGCAACACGTATTTTCCACGGACCTGCTTTCCAGAGACAGTAAACAGTCCTTGAGCTTGGTTTTTAAGTTTCATTAGGGGTTTTAAACTAGGATGGGGTTGAAGGGTGTATGGGATGTCCAAGGAACAGTAAACAGAGGACAACTTCTTGGCAACTAGGTACAAATCCAAAATAGGAAATTCTCTTCTAAGAGAGCTGTCCACCCTCTCCTGGCGTACCAACCCAGACCCCAGATAAATCCTGCTTCTGGGAACCAATGAGGCTGAGTGATCCTCCTTTCCAGGTCCCTGCCTTTAGGTAGCTAGCTCCCCCTGGCTATCTAGAGGGGTGCTACAATGGCAACCCAATGTTTTGCAATACAAGCCAGCCTGGAAAAAATACCATCTAGATTACATGGAATGGATCTGCTCAAAGCATTCGAGGAAGAAAGAGAACATCAATCCAGTCAGCAAAGTACACCCTGTTCGGCCTCAGTGATTAAATGCCTTCTAACTTTATCAATGTGTGTAGGATATCCCCAGAGGGACATACCATGGATAGATAACTCCCATCTGTTGTGAAAATTGGATGCAAGCAAAGTATGCTGTAGCGAGGTCCAAGCTTATCTGATAGCAACCAGATATTTTCCATGCATTCATAAGGACCATAAACCATATGGGGCCACTGATAGGTCGTTAGAGCCAGCCCTATGTTACTGGGCCTGGACTCCATTGGTCCAGCAGGGGAGTCCAAGGGTGCAGGGAAGACTTTTTATTTTTCATAGGGTGCAGGTGGAATATTAAAGCAGGCAGCCCTTCCAAGCACAAACGGTAAAAGTCTCTGTTTTCCATAGTTCACCAGGAAGCTTTGGGGCAGAGACAAGACTTTTTGGGGGAGCGAGTATTAATAAGTGACTTTGCTTCCCTGACACTCCTGACCCTGCTATTTATACATTAAATACCCCTGACCCCCCCCCCCCATTCTGTATGTTACATACTCCTGAAACCCACACTCTGTACATTACATATGTCTGACCCGAGTTCTTCAGGACACTAGACACAATGTCCCCTCTGCACACAGCTGACTCTAAAGCAGGGGCAGCCAAAATGTCTAAACAAATGCCAGTTTAATGTCCTTCAGACTTTAGGGGGCTAGGCTGTAGCCAGCGGGAGTTAACAATACCCTATCTTTAGTATTAGGGGGAGGAATGGTGCTCCATCCGTGTCAGTGGGATGATTAGTGTCCCATTGTTGGTGTCAGTGGCAAGACTAGTGGCTCAAAGGACAGATAAAGGCAAGTAAGGGGTCGCATCTGGACCCCAGACCACAGTTTTGGGACTAATGGTACGTAGCACCAGAGGGGTGCCAGCACACAATCTCTAGGATCTCTTACACCCGTCTGTACTCTCTAATGTCCTTCGATAATTAGTGGCCTACTTCCAGTATCCTTCACACACTTTCAGCAAACTAGGCCCTCCAGCTACCCCAGCTGGACCTCAATAAACCAAAAGCACATTGAAGAATTGCCTAGAATTTCCCCCTTAGGCTGTGATCTGTTCCAGGTCTCAGTATTTATACACACTCCCAGCCACCATCTGGAAAACTCTCCCCCGGGATTGGCTAGAGCTGCATAAATATTCAGCTGTCAATTTGACCTCTCCAGCCCTCTATCTTCCAGAACATTTCCATCCAGACAGTCAACCTTTCAGCAAGTGAAACACAGAACCAGGGGAGGACTGACAACTCATGGGGCCCCCGGGCAATAGGGGGATCATGGGGCCCCTGTGTCCTCGCCCACACTCAAACCACACCCAAAAAAGCCTATGAAAGGTACCAGGGGCATCTCATGGGGCCCCCTACTGACCCCGGGCAGTGCCCAAGTGCTCGAATGGTCAGTCCACCCCTGCACAGAACAGACCTAGCTAATCACATTCAGTCGCACTGGATACAGCGAGCAAAAAACTAAATTTACCTAACCTGGCACCGGTTTAGGAGGGTGCTACACACCTACAACTTCAACTGTCCTAGTTTGTCACTGTTTTGCAGTTGCTTATAATTTGGAGACCTGACATATTTGGAATTTAATTGCTCAACACAATCTCATCTTTTAGATTTTGCAGAACATTCGAACATTTGCGCAGTAAACTTTTGGCGATATAAAAATTTGCAGCAAACATTTTTATTCTACAGGATTTTGGCTTTTAGAAAATATTTCATACTTTGCATTTTTTTTTTCATTGTCACTTTTTTTTTTTTTTGCTGAAAACAAAAAACCTGTTATTTCAGCAATATCTAGAAATAGTCATCTTAGAAGAGATGAGAGAGAACAATGCTTTACCACCCTTACCTGTATCAGCTGTGACAGTCCCAAGTGTTCCTGATATAAAAAAAAAAAGAAAAAAATATGATTTACCAATAATCTGCAAATTGTCTAATTTTTACACTTACAAAACTAGATCACACTCATGTTTCTATATTTTATGAAGGAAAGGAAGGAGAGGGGGAAAAGGGAGAAGAGAAGGAAAGAAACGGGAGAAAGGAAAGGAAAAGGAAAGAAACGGGAGAAAGGAAAGGAAAAGGAAAGAAACGGGAGAAAGGAAAGGAAAAGGAAAGAAACGGGAGAAAGGAAAGGAAAAGGAAAGAAACGGGAGAAAGGAAAGGAAAAGGAAAGAAACGGGAGAAAGGAAAGGAAAAGGAAAGAAACGGGAGAAAGGAAAGGAAAAAGGAAAGAAACGGGAGAAAGGAAAAGGAAAAGGAAAGAAACGGGAGAAAGGAAAAGGAAAAGGAAAGAAACGGGAGAAAGGAAAGGAAAAAGGAAAGAAACGGGAGAAAGGAAAAGGAAAAAGGAAAGAAACGGGAGAAAGGAAAAGGAAAAAGGAAAGAAAACGGGAGAAAGGAAAGGAAAAAGGAAAGAAACGGGAGAAAGGAAAGGAAAAGGAAAGAAACGGGAGAAAGGAAAGGAAAAGGAAAGAAACGGGAGAAAGGAAAGGAAAAGGAAAGAAACGGGAGAAAGGGAAAAAAAAGGAAGAAACGGGAGAAAGGGAAAAAGGACAGAAACGGGAGAAAGGAAAAAAGGACAGAAACGGGAGAAAGGGAAAAAAGGACAGAAACGGGAGAAAGGAAAAAAGACAGAAACGGGAGAAAGGAAAAAAGGACAGAAACGGGAGAAAGGAAAAAAGGACAGAAACGGGAGAAAGGAAAAAAGGACAGAAACGGGAGAAAGGAAAAAAGGGGAGAAAGAAACGGGAGAAAGGAAAAGGAAAGAAAGAAACGGGAGAAAAGGAAAGAAAGAAACGGGAGAAAGGAAAAGGAAAGAAACGGGAGAAAGGAAAAGGAAAGAAACGGGAGAAAGGAAAAGGAAAGAAACGGGAGAAAGAAAAGGAAAGAAACGGGAGAAAGGAAAAGGAAAGAAACGGGAGAAAGGAAAAGGAAAGAAACGGGAGAAAGAAAGGAAAAGGAAAGGGAAAGGGAAAGGAAAGGTAAAAAGCATTGATGAGCCAAACAGTCCTGGGTTCGGTTTGGTACTTGTTCTGTGAACTTCAAGAAAGTTTGGATGCCAAACCCTATTGAAATCAATAGCAGACTAAAACTTATTTATGAAGCAATAAAAACAGAATAAAAAAAAAAAGTAAATTTTCTGGGCTAAAAAAGCAATACACGCAGCATGCAGAACCACACAAGAGTTTTCTATGTATGTTTGAGGGCCTTTATAGGGGTCTGTGTGCAGTGATTTAATTTTGTTTTGTTTTTAAAAAAGCTGGCAATGAATGGCATTTGCTGGCAAGTTGTCTTTTTTTCTCTTAAATGTTATTTTTGCTGTAGCACATCTTACAGCAAGAATGAAGAAAGAAAGAAAAGATCATACTGTATCCTTTGAGCCTGGTAAGAAATCACTCTAAAAATCCTACCAGACCAAACCCACACAAGTGCACAAGCACTGAATTGTTATCAATGTCCAATACAATGTACAAAGGTCTAGTGATTGTAATGTACATATAAACTTGACATAACAGATATGACCTAAAAAAAAAAAAAAAAAAAATTACACACTGCAAGCAAGTTTCTAGGACATATGTATCTTATGTCCTGCTCTTCTCTCCTTTCCGCTGTTCACAAAAATGACAGTTGGAAGTTGCTTTGTACAGCAGGAGCATCATTGAAGAATACACAATGTATTATTTCATTGTATTTACTATTT